ATTTGTGTTTGTTTTATTCAGTTGGTGATGGAGTGTAGGATCATGCGTGTCTGAAAGGCTCCGTAATTGCATTGCCTGTCCTCTGATAGTGCAATTAATCAGGCATATTAATCATCACTACTTTCCAATTATTGCCTCCTATATAGATATATAGCTCTGAAAATTCAAGCATAGACCTAAATCTTCACAGACTTACTCCTATTAATAGTTATAGACATGGTGACTTCCTTCATAACCTCCGGGCAAGAAGTGGCCTTTTGTGATGAGTTATTTATGCTGGCTTGATTTGATTTGAAGACCTTGGTCATTTACATGGTTTAACTGATGGAGGTTATTTCCCCGAAGCTTGGAACCTTATATTTGATTTATTTGCTGAGAATAGCAATCTGTTTGTAGATGCTCTGGATGTACAGTGTGGGGTGATAATTCTGTTATTGCTTGACTTCTTAATAGTCTACAAAATGCTGTTAAAGGTCTTTAAGTTGCTTATTAAGAGGAGTCTTGAGTAATATATGACCTGACTAATATATGACCTACATGGATGGCAATGCATAGGTGGATTATAAACCTGTCAGAGGGCACTTTGGCTTTTAGTTATGTTCCTTGACAGGAAATTAATGCCTTTCCTCTATGAGCTCTATTATCTTAAGAATACCCATGCCTCATCTGAAAGGAATTATGAAGATTTATTGCCCAACATCTGGCTATTACGATACTCAGAGGAGTCTCCTGTTGCTGCGTCTGAGTTAGGTGGGAGAATGGGTTCCTGAGATGAGCAGTGTCTATGGAATAAGTAATTCGCAGGGAAGTCAGGCTGAAATTTTGCCAAATACTGTTAGTGAGGGAGGTTTTGGTTTCTGTGACACCCTGAGGTCCTCTGCAGCGTTGTCCCGAAGCACGACATCTCATTACTTTTACAACAGCCCCAGAATGTGCTCTTGCAAGCGTGCCAGGTCTTTTATGGTCCTGAAATGCCTTTCTCTAGAGCATGGCTGGGGACCATCTGTGTGAGCCTTTGTGTGAAGGCAATTTTTCCATCTCTGGCTGAAGTATTAGAAGGGCAGGACTGGACGTAGTGGATGCTGGACTTGGCGGCTGAAGTTCCTTTGTGTATTTTTGTAAGCAGGTGGTTTGGAGCAGGAGAGTTTTCAGCCCAGGGAATTTCTGAAGCACTGAGCAACTGGCTCCTGCTACATGCGCGTGGAAATGAGTGCTAAGAGCTCATTGCACTAATTATGCAAAGGATCCTGGTCACACTGATGGAACTCGGGGAGACCACTCAGCTTCACACAGGTGTAACCGCAGAGCGAAGCCTGGTCCATCACCTACCTCAGTTCAGGAGCTCTACAAACCCCCAGTAACCCATGACTGACCTGAGATCATGCAGCAAAATCCTGTTCTCAAGGACAAAAAGTTTGGAGCATTTAGGGTTGTTTTGGTATGTAGGGGGGGATCAGGGGCATAGAAGGCTGTCACTGAGATCCAGAAGCTTTTTCCCTCCTTTCTATCCATTTTATTACCTACAGTTCCCATTTCCTTAATTTAATTAGCTAGCAAAAGACCATTTACATTCATTAAATAAATCAGTATTCTGGTTCATTGTGAAGCTAATGATCCAGTCTCTAATTTGCGTGGCTACAAGGAACCTGATAAACAAAAGTAGCTGTTGCCAGCATACGCCTGCCCTGGTAAAATCCAACTTTACCAGCCCCAAACATTCAAAGCTGGCCCACGGAGAGCCTGGTGCTCCCTTCTTCGTCCCTTTCATAGCTGGGTGCTGAAAGGGTCTGCAGGGTTCAATGGCAGATGTGTGTGGTCCCCATTCTCTCCCTCCTCCAAGGGCATGGTAATTCCTTACTCTGCCTGCTTATCTACAGAGGGTAGGTGTTGGGAAGGGGTTAGAGGGGTTTGATATTTACCTCTAGATCAAGGTATTATGCTTTATTTTATTTTATTTTTATTTTATTTATTTATTTATTTTTTTTAGCTTTGGAAGTTCTTATTTTGATTTTGGATCATGTGAAGGTGGGAAGTCTCAGGCCATTCCCAGGAACTGAGGGATCCACGCAATCCAAAATCATACAAGTGGCAGAAGTGAACAGGAGAGGGAAGACTGAACTCATGTAGAGTGGAGGTCCAGGGGAGAGACAAAGCGTGCAGCTGCCATTGCTGTGTAGTGTATGGCATAGTGTAGACTCTGACTCTTCGTGAAATGAGAAACTGTGAGGATCTGAGCAGTCTCCTCTCTTTTTTTCTCCATGTACTGGTCTCACTGGAGTCATTCCTAGTTCAGACCGGAATAATCCAGGCTGTCCAGGGATCCTGCTGCCATCCCCTTGAGGCTAGATATCCAGAGATGGATTAGCCTGAATGAATCATGTCCTGCTCTTTTTTTCCTTTTTTTTTTTTTTTTTTTTTTTTTCCCAAGGCATTAGAGAGTCATGCTTTGAAGTCTGAACTCCCAGCCTCATTCATCTGAGAACTCCCTCTGGGAGAACCAAAATGTCCAGCTGGAATTTGGCTTTCGTGTCAGTGCTGGGATATTCTTCTGACAGCTCTGTAGACCTCGACTGCTGCATTGACCACCCAAAAAAAAATAAAATTATTAATTTCTTTAAATTCAGGGAAGAAAAGGGAAAAGAGAGGAAATTGCTTTCCAGGCCAGTACAGGGCTTTCAAACGTAGCCACTTTTCTTAGCAGCTTCATGTGACAGACTTGTCTCAAACACTTTTGAGATAATCGAGCCAGGTGGACGCAAGGTGATCCTACTGGCCATAGATTTCTGACTGAAGTATCCAAGCCAGGACTTCTTTCAGACTGGTAAGAGCTGCTTCAGGGTGGGGATTGAACCTAGGTAAGGCTCAGGAACATTACCTTGGGCCTTTCATGTAGATGGCTCTGAGGTAGGTTGGTCACTCTCTCTCTAAAGACAAATAATTGATGAATTTCACATGACAAAGTACAGAATGGAAAGTTGAAAAAAAATGCAAACATAAGTTTAGCTGCAGCTTTGTTCCAAACCATGAAAATCTATTATCTTTTTCATGTTTCTAAACCAATACCCCTGCTGTTTCCTGAAAGTCTTTTTCCTTTTTTCTTTTTCTCTTTTTCTTTTTTTTTTTTTTTTGGCCCATCACTGAAAACAAAACCTATCCACATTTGTGCAGAGAATAATTGGAAAGAAGAATTAGAATGAAAGGTAATGTAATAGCTTCTTAAGCACTGAGAGGAAACAAAGGTCTGTGGAAATGTGAAATACTGGAATGGAAAATGCATTTGTCTTTGGAAGCTACTAGCTGAAGAGCCCAAGGCTGCTTGTCTACTGTATGGAAATAGAAAGGAACTTGTGCAGGATGACTGAAACCATCCTAACGTACAGTGAATTACCCTCTGCATGTCTCTTTCCCTTGTCTATGGAGAGAATACTTGGACTTGGACTAAATGCTGATCTCTCTGAAGCATGAAGACTTAGATGATATGAATCATGCCCTGACATCTATTCAAATAACCAAGAAAGGTGGCAGAAAACAAGGAGAAATCCCCAGGTGCCTTAGCCAAGGAGCTGCCTCTGAGTTTTGTGGGTGCAGAAACACAAAGGCTCCCCTGGGAACATTTCTGCCACCTACTTTAGGACCATTTGCATGCTCAGGTTATGAGCAGAGTCACCTAAAGCAGGACCATAGCCAGTGGAGAGAGAGGGAGAGACCTCTACAGAGGACAATTCAGAGCAGGAACATGCTGGCTTGGCAATAGATGTGTTGAATAACATCGTCATGGTGGGCACTGATCTTAGCTTGCTTGGATGGGAGTAGTGTCTTCCTTCATGTCCACCCACCACCGAAAGCACTGGGGTTGCTGCCGAAACCAGCCAGGAATCCCAAACAGGCAACAGCATCCCCCAAACAAAGGTTTAATCGGTAATAAACCCCACGTAGCATGTTTTTCTTTATTTGTGTGTTTATATTTTCCTGTAGCTTTGGCTTCAAAATCAAATTGGGTTGAAAACAGAAGGCAAACAAAAACGGTGGTGCCAAAACAGACTAAAAACAATGAAGGCATTTTTGAGGAACAAGAAGTTAAAAAATGAGCCCTGAGATGAAATTTGGCATTTTTTTTGCCCAGCGTGTCTTTGTTTTCTCTCCCCATGATACTGCGTCATAGCAAAGTACACTCCTTGGAGCCTTAATGGGAACAATGTGTTTCTTTTTCTGAGGTGGAAGGGAGAGACATTAGGTTTATTCTTAGTTATTTGGATAAGTGCTTGTGTTTTGTGCAGGACCTCCCGGTAAGTGCATGGATACTGTTGTTGCTTAGCATGCTGAACTGGATTCGTAAGCAAAAATGGTTTGGGCTTGAAATAGAGGTGGTGCTGCAGCTGAGCTGAAGTCTCAGAAACAAATGACAGCTGTTGGTACGGCGTGGTAAAGAGTAGAGGAGGTTTCTCTCCTAATTACAGCCCTTGGTAGAGAGCTGTGTTTCTCCCCTGTGGTATCTACTGCATGTAAGCCCAGCTCAGGCACAAATCCTGCGCTGGCATCCTCAGCTGTACCTAAATATGCAAGAAAGCCTGGGGTACCCACTGGACAGCCAGTTTCTCTGGGTGGCTGTCTCGCAAGGTGGCAAGGCATTATGTATTTTCCCTCTTCTGTATTCATGTGTATTAATTATGGAGGTTTTAATGGCAAAGCACACTCTGATGGTCTCTGATGGTAAAATGACAAGAAGTCACAGCTCCTCTGATAGATGCACAACGGTTTCTCTCTTGCTGTGTTAACTCTCCCTCCTCCCTGAGCCCTTTGCAATTTTAAGGTTTGAGCTTGAGTTTAAGGGGCTTTGGGAACTTCCTAAGAGATGACTGTAAAATCATCATTACACAGGAGTCTTTGGGCTAGTAGCAGGGAGATGCATCCAGGAGTGCTGCACACCCAACTCACTCAGCCTCTTTCAAATCCATGCCCACGTGCACTCAGCCCCAGTCCTTGTTCCCAGAGTTAATTACCTTTCTTCCCTTAAAGAGAATTCCTGCACTGTTGGCATCCATCATCTGCACGTCAGTCTCGCGGTGTGAAGATGTATTGCGCTGTGTACTCCACGCAGAGCCTGGAGTGTCCCGGTGGCGCTTTCTGAAAGTCATTTTGAGTAATCATCCCTGGAGGGTCCCTTCAGCACATTCAGCTCTGCATCGAGCAGCCTCACCTCTGCCTCATTGGCATTCTGCAAAGCCGCCCTCCCTTCCCCCTCCTGCCCTTTCTGCTCTTCTCCAAAAGACAGACAGAAAGTCCTTCCCCTCCGCAAATAGCCTTACTCATTCATGTCCCATCCCCTGCTCACCTGGGAATAGGCTCTCTGGTGGCCTTCGCATGGCCTCATCCCATCCATAAATACCCAAAGGGAGGGTGGCAAGAGGATGGAGCCATGCTCTGTTCGGTGGAGCCAGCACGAGCTGACTTCAGGAACTCTGGGGATATTTCCATAGGGCTTCTGGTGCTCACATCCCTACCCACATTATTCCAAAGCCTTCCTTAAATCCAGGGTCTTGAGTACACAGACATGGCTGAAATGCATGGAGGTCTAAAGCTGAGCCTTCCCCAACTTTCTTCTTTTGCAGATTTCAGAGCAAACCTGTCCCTGGTGTGGAGAAGGGCTCTGCACCAACACTACGGGTGCTCCGAGCATGGTGCAGCATGGGGAGGATGCAGGACCTGTGATTTACTTCTTCTCATGGAACAGTTCCATGCAAAGACACAAATTGATTCGTTAGCACTGAGGTGTGTTGTTTTTGGTGGCTTTTCTGCTCTCCCTCCACCACCTCTCATTCCTGACATCACACCCCTGCGTGCCTTCCCTTCTCCCCTGCCAACACAGCTGCTGTGCTGAGAGCAGGTTTGGGGAACAGATCCAGCTTAAAAGCAACGTGGCCAAACCAGATGAATATTTTCTTATTGTTTGCTTCCCTGAATCTTTTTATTCCACCCTACTCAGCTGCAGCTTTGCAGTACTGCGCCATGTCAGGGGAGGAACACCATCTGAGAAGGGGCAAGAGACAAGGACAGGGAGGCTGTGATTTAAGCTGATGCTGCAAAAGAAAATGTATCAGGAAGGCACAGCCTGAGGTGCAAGGCCTCCAGATGGAATGACAGAGGGCTAGTGTCATGTTCCTCTAAATCCCTCAAGGAATTTGACTTACTGGACAGAGACCTTTTCTGCAAGGAAAAAAAAAAAAAAAAAAAGAGAGGAAAAAAATAGCAACAAACAGCCTTTTATAAATCTGGAAATGCTTATTATCTCATTTACCCCCTGCTCCTTTCTGTGCTTCTTCCTTTCAAAGTTAGAGTCATGAGGATATATAGAAGATGCACAATATTGCAGCAAATAAATAAGTACCCTGGAGCTGAATTCTGATTGCAAATATTTTGGGACTGCATGGATTTGTGAAGACACTGTAAGCTGCGTGGCAGAATGAAAGCCTGGCTCCAGCCCCATGCTGAGAGCTGTTCAAATACATCTTTAAAGAAAAAGAAAATCATGACAAATGCTGCAAACAGCAAGCCTTTTCACCCTCTCACTCCTCATTTCTCAGTTCACCAAGTCCCAGTGATGTTTCCCCAGCTGGTAGGATGGGTGCTTTGAAAGCCTGCCAGAATCACCTTGTTTCTTCTTGGTGCTCAGTCAGATTTTTTCCACCAACTAAAATAAATAAATAAACAAATACATAATAATAATAAAAAAGCCCTTCTAACCTATAAAAATGAGTTTTGCATCTCCTGGCATGTAGGGAGGGAAGGAGCGGAAGTGATTTTCGTAAATGGTAGTCTGCTCTTCACATTACTTTCTGAAGCAGCAGGGAAACTATTTGGAAAACATGCTCACTTCTTCACTGGTGTGATCCTTCCTGTGTTATTTCTTCTGCCACTAAAAGCAACTCGAATTCCTGAGGCATGTGGGCTGGGATACTGGACATGCTTGACTCTCTGTAGTTAGAGAAGTGAGAAAGACACCTCCAGAAACTGTTTTGGACCTGCTGAAATCCACATCATCTTCCAGGGGTGTCTCTGAGGTGCCGCAGACTGCACCAGGACTTTGGCAACTCAGTTCCTTATGTGGGCACTTCGGTCTGATGCCAAATCTTGGAATCACTTAGGCTGGAAATGCCCTCTAAGGTCATCAAGTCCAACTGATAACCTAGCTCTGCCAAATCTACCACAAAAACCTGAGCACCACATTTACATATCTTTTGAATGCCTCCAGGGCATTCAGTGACTCAACCACTTCCCTGGGCAGCCCATTTAAATGCTTCACAACCCTTCCAGTGAAGAAATGTCTCCTCATTTCCAACCTGAGCCTCCCCTGGCACAACTCGAGGCTGTTCCCTCTGCTCCTGGCCCTGGTTCCCTGTGAGCAGAGGCCGCCCCCCAGCTCCCCACCCCTTCCTTTCAGGCAGTTGCAGAGAGCAATAAGCTCTGCCTTGGGCCTCCTCTTCTCCAGCCCAACCCCCCCCAGGTCCCTCAGCCGCTCCTCACAGGACTTGTGTCCCAGGCCCTTCCCCAGCTTCGGAGCCCTTCTCTGGCCACGCTCCAGGGCCTCGATGTCCTTCTGGGAGTGAGGGGCCCAAAGCTGAACCCAGCACTCGAGGGGCGGCCTCAGCAGAGCAGAGCCCAGGGGGACGAGCACCTCCCTGGCCCTGCTGCCTACACTATTCCTGATCCAAGCCAGGATGCTGTTGGCCTTCTTGGCCACCTGAGCATACTGCTGGCTCATGTTCAGCCAGCTATCGACCAATACCCCCAGGTCCCTTTCTGCCAGGCAGCTTTCCAGCCTGTAGCATTACATGAGGCTGTTTTGACCAGTTGCAGGACCCAGCACTTGCCTTTATTGATCCTCATACAGTTGGCCTTGGCCCATCAGTCTGGCATATCCATATCCCCCTGCAGAGCCCTCCTACCCTCAAGCAGATCAACATTTGCACCTAACTTGGTGTTGCCTGTGTGCCACTTCTCTTGCACCTGCTCTCTTCACTCCCCACATCCAAGTTCCCTGCGGTCCTTTGTGCTCCCTTTGCTCTTTCCAGCCCCTTACCACCTCCTGTACAAGCTGCTGTCTCCTGTTTTGCCCTGAAATGTGAAGCTCCTGGGGACGTTGGACCATCCAGTTGATGGGGCTGAGCCTGGCAGCTTAGTGCCAGTTCAGGGGAAAGCCATGCTGCACCTTCTGACCATAGCACATGCTCCTGGCCCTTTTAAAGCCAGGAAGGCTTTAAAAAAAGCTGAATGTGAAACAGCAAAAGAAAGAAACATACGGATGTTAGGCACTGCAAAACCTCAGAAAATTTCTACAGATGTAATATAAAGTAGATGAATGCCAAAAAAATGTGTCCTTCCCAAATGTGAGAAGGGCGGACGTGGCAGGGATGCGTGCAAGCAGCAAGCACAGAGGGAAGGCTCCTGTTGCCCCTGCAGCCAGGAGCTGTGGTGTGCCCACAAGTACGGTGCTCGAGCGAGGAACTGCTGAAAGGCCAAGCCCTTCTCCGCCCCAGCTCGCCAAGCTGAGGCTGCAGTAACAGAAACATAGCAAGCGACCGTCTCTAATTTGGTCTTCTGGTTTCAGGGCAGGCTTAATCCAGCGCCAATCCAATTGTGTAGCCCTGTGGTTTACTGAACCAGCCTGATCTTGTTCCCTGTGGTTAATACTACCCGCTAGGACTTTTTGCCTTTAATTCTTCTTTTGACATCTCTCTTCTTGGTATGGCTTAAGCTAAAAGGCTTAGCTTCTGAAGCATGCAACTTGGGGACCTCTAAAACATCTTAGGATATTAAAAAGCAATATATAAGTACGCTAGTTTTAATGTATCTCTTTAGTCTTCTCATTACCTTTAGGGATATAAGCATGCTTTCCATTCTGTGTTTATGCGGTAACTTACCCAGGGAGGTCTTAGCTCACAGCTGGGATTCCTTTGTATTGTTAAAGAGGTCCACAGCTTGCCAGTCTCATCTTTTTATGTTCCTTTAGCCAACATAGCTCAGCTTCCCCAAGAAGACACTTCACAAAGCGGGCAGGAGCTCCCTTAACCATACTTAGTAGGGCGTAGGGGTTCATAAACCAAAGCATGGTCCCTCTGCATCAGATTACTTTGGAAAACTGCCTCTAAGTAAAGGCAAATGTGTGCCACTGCTGTGCTGGGAGAACTTGCAAATCCTTCATCTCTAAGTCTCCCCACTGCCACTTCCATGGGAAGGGGTCCAGAGAGAGAGCACTGGTACATGACAGCAGGCCTGGGGCTGGATGAATGGACCATGAGGCCTTGTGACTTCTGCTGGTATTGGTGTGATGTCCAAAACCTTTCCCTGTGGCATCTTCTGAACATCTGCTGCTCTGCGCACAAAACCTTCCCCGTGGGACAGAGCATGGGGGCAGGGCTCTCCCGATCCCCTCTTCCCCAAGCCCTTCCACTTAATTTGTGTCATTTTGTTCAGATGCAGCTGGAAAGAATTAAAATGTCAGCCAGGCACAATTGCCTCCATTGAGATGAAAAGCTGCTGGAAGAAACAATGCTAACAAGCATGGCAAAAAAAGAAAAAGGAAAAGCCTGGTGCTGTTTAGCTGGTAATAATTAGCCCCCAAAATGGAAAGAGGCAAGATCCAGTGTGGCTCCCGTTCAGTTCAGGGGAGGTCCGGTTAGGACCAGGTTGATGAGCTTTGCTTAATTGCTGTTAATCTGCTACTGGATGGAGGGTTATGGTCTCCAGGATGCTCCCTCCGAGCAGAAGCATGCAACCAGCTGGTGGCAGAGCAAGGGCTGGCAGAGTGGCTCCTGAGATTCGGCTGTTATGGGATGTGACCTGCTGGGATGGGGTTGCTTGGGTGAACTGATAGCTGTGGGGTTTGTAAGATTTGGGACATCCTTCCCTATTGCATATTTGTATGTTATTCCAGACGGGGTGATGGAAGGAGGAGTTTTCAACTGCTTAAGCCAAATGAGTGGGTGAAGTCAGGACTCATTTATCCAGAGCTCACAGCTTTATAGGTAAATAACAGATGCAAGGAAATCCCTGAAGTTCCACATACCTTTACTAGGAGAAGAGATCAGACTGGGGACTTCTGGATAAGGAATATGCAACAGTCCTGCCTAAAAACTCAATAGTTCAGAAAATGGGTCTGGAAATGTCCTCCAGGGACCTAACTCCTCCTGTTCCTATGTCCTCGGTCAGAACATCTTATTAAGGCTGAGTTCCTGCAAGCAATGTGGGTCCACCAGTCTTTCCTCCTGCATTATCCTCTTTCCAAATCTTCCTTCTCTTTCTGAGCAATATGAGGACAATTCAGGTAGCCATGTGTCTGTCCATTGTGTATCCAGTCTCAGTTTATAGTTGTAGTTGTACCCTATTGCAATATCCCTATGCTTCTTCACATCTTCCCAGAGCGGTTTCAGCACAGCACATACTTTAGAAAGAAACGTGCTCGGATGAGAGCCTGGGGTCAGGACTTCTTCCACACAGTGTGAGTGGCTTCATTTATACCAGGGATGCTTTGGGAATTACAGGATTAGAGAGTACTTGAAGGGCATTGACATACAAATCACACCCGAGGTACTTGCAAGCTGGAGATTGTCTGACTCTGGTGTACCCAGCTCTTAAAGTCTGTGACAATTTCACATCTTTCCTGGTCTTTCTTGTTTAGGTGCCCTGGGGTGGGTCACCATTTGCCTCTGTCACTGTAATGAGATGCTGGTGACTCAGCTTGCATCCACCATCAGGTCAAGTGGTTCAAATATTTGATGTGCCTGGGAGCTGCTTTTTATCCCCCAGCTAAAGTGGTTGGCCTAATAAAAGATATGTTTCTTCTCTACAAATATTGCTTAAGCTCAGCCTTGATGTCTTTTGGGCAATATTTATCTTGCATTAGCTCTGCATACACAAAATATTGCTTCTAAAAAGAGCAAGATGGGAACTGGGCAGGATATAGCCAACACCAGGTAATGGGGGTGATGGTTCACCCTGGAAATGGCTGCGTGATTAAATCATTGGCAGAGAAAGTAGAAGAGCTTAAAGGAGGATGCAAAGCAATTGTACGTGACTGATATCAAGGTCTCTTAGAATATGATTAAATGCTTCCCTGGCCTGACACCTAGGAGCTGCTCCACAGCAAAAGCCAAAGCAGAGTAGAGAAAGATTGCTGCTAGACTAAGGAATGTGACCGTATATATGCACTCTGAAATCTAAAGTGTACCTTTTTTTAATAAAAGCCCTGCCCAGTGCAACACAGGAGGCTGAGCTCATACTGAAGTACCAACATAATGGTAACTTTCATTGCTTTTTCAGATATGGGCTACTCTTTTCTCTCTTATCTGGTTCAGTAGCTGTGCTAAGTGACAGCTTTTTTACAGCATTGTAAAATCCTGGCTCAAGCAAAGTCCAGCACATCTGCTTGTACATGCCTTACCTTTTAATGCAAAGAGCAGTACATTTCCCAGTTTGGTGGGACAGAGAGCTGTGATCTGTCCTGACATGTGTTTTCAAG